TGTGGCGGCATCCCATATAAAGTGGAGGAAGATGGGCACGGATGTTAGCCCAGGGCCAATCTTCCTCAGCAAAAAGAGGAGGATTGGCATCGGATGTTGGCTCAGGGCTGATCTTCCTCACACACACACACAAAAGAAACCAAGCAGCTGGTTTCATGGGATGGCCTATAGCCCCTTTATGCTCGTCTCCTCCTGGGCTTGGATTAGTAGGGTGGTACCCACTCAGATCCACAGGGACAGAGACAGAGAGGCAAATCTCTCAGCTCTCTGGAGCTCCCAAGCCCCCTTGTTGCCTAGGGTTCCACCTCACAGGCATCCCTGGAAGCTGTTCTCTCCTACCAGTGCCTTCAGTCAGCCAGCGCAGCCCACAGCAGTAGCTCCTTCCCCTGCCCTCTCCAATCTCTCCACCACCAGGGCCCCCTCCACACTGTCTCCAGCACCAGCATCATCTTTCTAAAATGAAAACTCACCTGGCCCTCACTGCCCTTGACACTCCGCCCTTGACCTGATTTTGCAGCCTTAACCTCCTGCTCCTCCATCACACTTGGCCATCACTACTAAGCTACTCCCAGTTCCCCAAACTTGCCACCCTCTTTCAGGCCTTGTCACTTTTGCCAGATTGCTCCTTCTTGCAAAGTTATTTCCTTTTCTCTAGAAAACTTACTCGTCCTTCAGGACTCAACTGGAATATCATTGTTTTGGTCCCTGACTTCCTCAGACAGTTACTCCTGGGCAGCCACAGCCCCTGGTATAGACCTTCCTCACAGCGCTGGCCACATTACATTGTAACTGACCCGTGTGTGACAGGGTGTCTGATCCAACTGTCTGCTCCCAGAGTGGGGGCTTCTGACCCCTTAGGAACCCCAGCATCTCGCCCAGGGTCTAACACAGTGTTCTCAATACATTTTGGTCAAATGTATGAATGAAGCAGGTACACCTTGTTCTGCTTTTAGATCCTAAATCCTGACAGAGCCTTATGGAGCCCAGTCCTGGCAGGCCAGGACTCGAAGCCACCAGACCCCACATGGAACCAAGGGCCTCATGTCCAGCTGCTGCACCCTTGCTGGAGAGACAGTTCCATGTTCTCGTGGGTGTCACTGGGAGCGTTGCAGCTCTGAAGTTGCCTCTTCTGGTGTCAAGGCTTTTGGACATTCCTGGTGTGAGTATCCTCACTAGACAAGCGTGGCAGCCTCTGACATTAGAGAGCCGCTGCTCCTGGGGCCATTTTTGAGTGGTGCACGGGGTTTCCTTTTTCTTAATCATGGTGTTTGTGGAAGTCTTCTGTGTGCGTTGGTATGTGGGGGACACAGGAGACAGAGTCCAGTGTGACAGTATAACCAGGAGCTAGATTAGATGGTGTGGACAGAGCGTGAGGGGAGACTAGAGAAGGAACGCTCTGGTAAATGGAGCGTTCGGGCTCCCATATGTTGACCCTGAGATTCCCTAGGTCCTGGTGTGGGAGGAGGGCTGCCTGGAGAAATGCGGCAAGTTCTCGGTGTCCCCTTGCTGCCTTGGGTGCCCCACCCCTGCTTTCACTCCATCATGAACACTGTGGCTCTATTCTCCCTCCTCGTTAGACTTCGTGGCTGTCCTGTTGGTCCAAATGCACTGGAAGCTCGGGGACTCCCTGTTGCCCACAGCTCTGGTTTCACACTTTGCTCTTCAGGTGTTCAGAGATGCCCAGGGGCCACCACAGTGTGTTGGGGGTGGTGGGCTTAGCTCCCTGCCCTGCGCCAGACCACCTCAACTTTGATCAGTTATATATATTGGGGTTCTGGGGCAGATTCTTTTGCAGGAAAAGTTCAAGGCTTTAAACAATGTGAAAGCCAGCAGGTCATAACCCCACTTCTTCATCTGGTATCCAGGGCCCTTCCTTGGTCCATCGGTCTCCCACTGCCCCACACTCCACCCTGATGGCCTCTGCTTTGGCCGGGCCCCTGCCAGCCTGCGCTGTCCTGCCTGCTCCTCTTGGCCTTTCCAAATTCTGCATGAACACTTCACGCAAAAGCCTGCTTGACCTGCCTCAGCCCATGCAGTCTTGCTGCCTTCATTTTAAAACTTGCTTGTTGTGCTAAAGAAGAACCAGAGCTGGGCAGTAGTTAAAGTGGTGAAAACAAGCCGGCCCCGTGGCGGAGCGGTTAAGTGCGTGCGCTCCGCTTTGGTGGTCCGGGGTTTGCAGGTTTGGATCCTGGGCGCGCATGGGCACACAGCTTGTCAAGCTGTGCTGTGGTGGCGTCCAATATAAAGTAGAGGAAGATGGGCACAGATGTTAGCTCAGGGCCGATCTTCCTCAGCAAAAAAGAGGAAGGTTGGTATCGGATGTTCTCTCAGGGCTGATCTTCCTCAAAAAAAAAAAAAAAAGGTAAAAACAGATTTTATTCAGAAAAACTATTGCAATAGGGGAAAAGAGACCTCAGTATAGATAGAAGTAGGCTTAATTCTGACTACAACAAGGAAAAGTGGGGATTTATAGCCAAGGAGCAGACATGGGTCAGCGGATGAAAAATTCCTGAGGGAACATCAGGGGTCAGGGGAATTCTGGCTGAACGTCCTGGCAAGATTCTTGCTGAAGGTGATCAGACACCATCTGGGGGATGCTGGGGGCTGAGGACCCTGTTGAGATATCCAGGCTGATCAGACATCGAGGGTGGGGATTCTGGTTAAATCAACTTAGCAGGAATCTTGCTCTTGAGGACAAGGCCCAAGGAGGGGCCTTGATGAAAAAGTGTCTCAGACGGGCCTGACTGGAGTTTGGTCAAGGAGAGAATCTTGACCAAGATATAGAACCATAGGTTGCCTTCGACACTGCTCATGTTGTCTGACGCTAGTTTTGTGGGGTGTTGTTAAGCCCCTGGGGCTCGGGCTGTGCTTTTTCCTTTCTTGTTTCTGCACAGCACCTAACAGGGTGGCACAGGTGGATGTTCCTAGCATGTCCAGCAGGGGGCAGTGCTCACGTGCAGATGACCATGTCGAGACTGCAGGCAGGGGCGGGGGAAATCTTTCATTTTTTTACTTTCCACAGACTTCTACCCAGAAAGTCACCCCCTCAC